ATGGGATACAAGAATATCGTAAGTTACACAGAATAAAATATCATACGAGAAAAGAAAACAATTACTATATTGAATAACCATTACATTGAATCGAAACAGAAATAAACTTGAACTATACTCATAATGAGTAAAATCAATCAAAAATTGATTTTTCTTTTCATTATATCACAAGTTCTCATTAGTTTTAAGGTAATTAAATAAATTGCATTCTATTGTTATCATTTTCAAACAATTTACTAACATAAGTATAGGGGTTTTGTAAAGATTACTGAATTTTTATAAATTAAATCATTAACTGATCTTAATTAGATTAATACTTCTTGAATTTCAATGATGATCATCATGGAAAACCTGAAAGTATTGTGCTTCCTGGGTTCGAATCTCGCGATGTGTTGGATTGTGGATGAGCACCGCTGAGGAGTCTCATACTAGGACGAAACGGTCGTCCAGTGCTTTCAGGTTTTCCATAGTGGTCTAACATCAATCGGTTCATGATCTTAATCAAAAACTTAATGATCTCCACAACCCCGTTGTTATGACCTTGGATCGCTTTTACCCCGTTGATACTTGTTATGACTTGACCTTGGTCTGTCTAGTCTAAATTATGAGCTTGACGCGATAGGGTGAGCGGCTTAGCCTTGAGCCTGGTACGCGTGAGTTCGAGATGGGGTAGAGAGATAACTATTCTAGAACCTGATTGGTTGGCAAGCACGCAAGTGAGAGAAGACAAGACAGTTGGAACACTTAGCTCTGGATTCTCTGAATTCGGATTAGTACAAAAATGTACATGAATAAATAAGTGAATATCTTGACCACGACGTCCGATAATTTGGAAAAATACAGTTATGCCCGAAACTGGGAATTAGGATAGAAATTACGGTGCAAAATATTATGTTTAAATTACAATATTTTCGGAACCAAAAAGAGTATGCTAGTGAATGATACATAGAACGAAAGCTCATGTTATGTAGAATAAGATAGGGACAAAAATAAATATAAGTGTTTTACAGGGTTTGAATGAAATGAATTAACATCCCAAGAAAATAGCTTTCATAGTTGTCTGGGCTTCTTAATTCCCTGTTCACAACACCCGTATATCAGAGATATGATTGTACAGTTTTAGTTAATGATATCGTTTATACTTTATCGTATTACTTAATAACTAAATTCTATTCGATAATAATACCTAATTATGATCAGATGATCAATAAAGTAATTTGGAGATTAGATCAAATTTTATAAAACTATATCAATTTGAGTTACATAAATGAAAATGGATGTTTAAGCTAATTGAATTTTGTGAACTCAATAAAACCATGAATCTTGAAAAAAAAAAAGAGAAAAATTTGTAGAAATAATTATGACAATCAATAGAAATGTTACTAAGTCATGAAAAGATTATTCAAAAGCTTTGAACATCAACAAACAATCTACAAAATTACAAAAAGGTATCGTTGAACAGTAACAATCTATAAATATAAACTTTATTAGTTATTAATAAGGACTAGACAAGCATGACATTGATCACCACACAGTGATCAATCAATTGTGATTACATCTCAGTCCTACAGGAAGTTAGTCACGGCTCGTATAGCTCAGTGGTAACGTCTCTGACTGTGAAGCTGGGTGACACGAGATCGAATCGGTCAGGGAGCACCAGTTCCCTCAAGATTACAGGTACACCTTGCTGACGAGTGCCAAGTAGCACGAAACCCGGGTCCAGAATTTCCTGTTGACTACATCCAACCACCATCTAAATCTCAATACATAGTGCCCGCAGTGTCGATTCACCTAGACTGGTGGCCACATTGCAACACGATCGATCTGCACTAATAAGGACTAGACAAGCATGACATTGATCACCACCCAGTGATCAATCAATTGTGATATAAACTTTATTAGTATTCCAAATGGATAACTTATATTTTAATGATTAAACAATAAAGTGATATAAAAAAGAAAATATCTATTTGTCATGATGAAATTGATCTTATTCATACTTTAAAGTCTAAATAGTTATTGATTTATGGTTAGAGAATTTCAATTGATTGTGTTAATTCTTTATTTTGATTAGAATTGGGTTTGTGGAGACTATAGTAATTTCAATAGTTGGATTCATGAATCGATATAACCTAAACCACTATTGAAAACCTGGAAGCACTGTAAGGTCATTTCGTCTAAGCACAGGGCTCCGTAGCAGTGCACATCTACGAAACCCGCACATGGGGTTCGAACCCAGGGCCTCTTGTCTCGCTCACGAACGTCAACTTGTAGACCATTGGGCTAGCATTCAATGGTGTTGATGTCTAACTTTCATCGATCCATGAATGGCTACACAACCATTAATCCATTGTCTGAGTTAGATACGTGTTATGAATGCGGAGGAGTATACCAATAATTATCATGTTAAGTTTAATGATGTCCTTGGACTTTAAATGGACATTTCCTATTGGTCAATATTTATTTCACTCGTTAAATATTGTACAGATGTTGTTTTCTATTTTTATGGTACGATATGGTCTGTTTGGTTGGTATATGAACAGAGTATGTTTGAAGTATAACGATTCATATATCAGAGGCTGAGATTTGTGTTCTGGACTCAACTGGCTGGGCTAGACAGGGAAGCGGGACCAATCGGAACTCTAGGTCGATCTACACTGCTCTCTAATATTTTCAGTCAAGGACGCAACAATCGGCATGGGGTAAAAATCGACTCAAGTTTAAAGTCACAACAATACGTGTCTCTACCCGACATGGATTGGACTCCATTGGTCACGGCTTTTCAATAGAACTCCAAGAAATCATCTTGAAGCCAGTTATTAGTAAGCACATGATGATTATGATCAGAATAAAGTTTATGGAGATTATAGCAATTTTAATAGTTGAATTCATGAGTCGATGTAATTCTAAATTTATCTATTTGATTATTATTATTATTAAGGAATTTATTCAATATTACTATTCTTATACTTAATCGATTGACTTGGAATTATAATTCAATGAATGTTAAGAAAGTGTAAAATCTTCAAAACTTATCTTGTATCATATATTTACTTATTTAAATAATGTTCAACTTGAACAATATATAACAACTACTCATTTAAACAAAGATGGATAGTGGCAGTGGAATCCAGGACGCGTGTTTCGTCCTGTTTGGGACTCGTCGGCTGGATGTACCTGCATCTCAGAGTTGATGTTCAATCCGGGACTCCGACCCAGTACCGTTCGCTTCAAACGCCACCTTGTTAGCTACTTAGAGAAGTTATTTTATACCGATGTATAGAAACATAAAGCGGACTATTGCTTAGTACACAGGTGAGAACCATACCTCGTCAGAAAATGGTAGATTAGTGCAAAAGAGTCTTTTGGAAGCTTGTTGAAGGTTTCTTCAGTCACTAGTTTACTCTGATTAATTGAGTAGGTAAAGTGATTAACATGTTCAGTTACTCAAGTCTCTTATCATGGTAGGAATCACTGCAGATCAAACCTAAAGTAACATTTTGGATCGAGAAAAAATGCGTCTCGAACATTCTTGGGTTATGGCAATTCAAGGTGTTCAGGAAACTTGGCATCTCTTTAGTCTTCTCAAAAAAAGACTAAAAACATTAAGCACTCTAAGGTGATGGAAACGTCCCAAGGTAAGAGGTGAATACTCTAAAAACATACTCTGAAACATTTATCCTTAGGAATTGATAAGTCTTGCGAATTGAACGCTATATTCGTTTTCTAAGTTATTCTGTAACCCTCAAACTAGACAGGTACCTGAACACGAGAGAGAAGGCGCAAAGTATGCGAGAAGTACTTTACTCCAAAGGTTTATTTTAATGCAGAAAACATAGGGTTTTTATAATATTTTAAATGCCTTTGAGTTGCTCAAAGATTCTGGAATGCTTCTAAAAATAGTAGCAGTATAGTAATCAGTCAATCAGAACCTCTACATGTGACGTCTCACTTCCTTGATGTTTCTGGTTAAAACGTCGAGTGAACGCTGATTGGATGAAATGCTTCTTCGTGTTTCCTGATCCTTGTTTGTCTTTTGCAAGAAATTTTCTGGATCACCTCAACAAGAATATATTCATAACGCAGAATAAGAATTAGTATGGCAAACAACCATGATGGATACTGCTTATCACATCTAATTCAAATATTATGTTGTAAGCTCAAATTCAACAATTAGTTTTCGAATAAACAATTACCAGTAAATTGTGTATTTTTTCGATACATGTTATGGTGATATACACTGGGACATTATACCTTGTGATCACCGACTTCGAACGGCATATTCATCTGGTAGAAAGCAGCTAATTGAATTAAATTTGGTTTATGTTCCAGGACCTTACGATGAAAACAATTTATGGCCTAAGATAAGTCACGAAACCATTTTGAATCATTCAAGTTTAATACTGTAAGGACTAGAGACGTTAAGAATTTTGAAATAACGGCATTCAAAGTGGGTATTTTTTTCAAGATGATTTTCTTTCTTCCTTGTAGATTGGAATAATAACAACCAGTCATATGAAATGATATGTAACTTATAAACTTTAACTCAAGAATCAATCAATCCAACATATAATGTCAGATTACCATTCTTGAATGATTCTGGAATTCATCTATTAGGGCTAGTTACAGTCCCCCTTTTGCTGTATATGCGTTATAATCTTTTTAGTTTAGGGAAAAATTTATAAGTTAGATGTTAATTTCCAACTTAGATTGTTACTATGCTGTTGAAAATTGAAGATTAAGTTTTAGTAGTAGTAGTAGTGACAGTGTACATATATTTTTATAATCTATTTTTAGTTATTTAATGATAATGTAGTTGTTATGACTTTATGTCCGGCTTTTTATCACATGATTTATCCACCAATCAAAATACGACTTATACAATCTTAGCACTATGCCAAAACCAATGACATTCAACTGATATGAGCAGACTAGCGTCCTTATTGAACCTATGTCCGTTTAACCCGTCCACTTGAGTCCAGAACACCAAATACCATCTTCCAATATACGAATCATTTATTTCAAATATACTGTGTTTATAAATCAAACAAAAAGATCGCAACACACCATAAAATAGATAATAATATTTGTACACAATAAAGCCAAAAAGTGGCTATGACCATGGAAGGCAGTAGTTAATAAACTGAGCATAATTTAGGGACAGTAAATCGTATAAGAATAATGATAGTCTATAGGTCAAAATGAAGCTTATAATAAGGGGAATATAAATATACATAATCTAACTATTATACAGTACGAATGTTTATAGAATATCAGTCCATTAATAGTCCTTGGAAGTTACCTATAATTTAATCTTCATTAGGATATAACAGTAGTGAAAATTTTAAAATTAAATATTTACTTAAGTATTATCCATGTTTGATTATTATTTAAAAGAACTTTCACTAAAATAAATGTCAAGAAGATGAATATATAAAATACAATTACTGCAACTAGAGGAAAGTACCCAACTGCGTCACAAGACAAGCCCTTACATGAAATCCTCAAGGCCAAAGGAGGAGAGGAAGACCAAAGAATACATTACGCCGGGAAATGGAAATAGACATGAGAAAAATGAACAAGAATTGGATAGAACTAGAAAAGAAGGCCAAGGACAGAGTGGGTTGGAGAATGCTGGTCTACGGCCTATGCTCCATTAGGAGTAACAGGCATAAGTAAGTAAGTAATTACTGCAACTTAACTAAATACTATGGATATACTCTATTAAATTTATATGTAGATAATGAAGAGAATATAATATCAATTTAGAGATTAGTTGTAAAACGTGTAAAGAGTAACAGGGAGAGAAATATATAATTGATGAATTTTCTATTTAGATATGAGAAAAACTTGTGTACTTTGGTGACTTAGGATCTGACTCTAGTTAAATCGGACAGATGATCATTATTGAATGATTACTGCCGAAATATACATCCTAACTAGTCTAGTATATAACTATCAACTTAAATAACGGAATTAATTAAGTCGAATACGAGAATAGATTGTTAAATACATATATTTTGTAAACTCACTGATGTGAACAGGAAATGAGAGGAATGAAACGAAAGGACACACAGTGAAGAAGGCGTATGTGCCAACTCCCTTTTAACTAAGTAATAATCGATATTATTATAGTTCAACAAAACTAAGTGATGAATAGGATAAGATGTGTGTACACACATATGTGCTGATATATAAAAAAAACCCAGGGAGGATTGATAAGTAAATCATTAAAACAAAGTTGAGACATAACTCAAAGAAGAATAGTTTGTCCAAAAGCTAAAATAAATTATTTGGTCTACACTACACAATACAATCAACAAACTAATTGCTATGGTGATTAACCAATATACTAAATGAACAAAACTACAATGAAAATGTTCATATATATAAATACATATTAAGTAGTGTTCATTGATTTCATATCAGGAATATAAAAATAAACATAAACACAAGATAATAAACAACATAATGAGAATATACTAAATAAAACTGATACACTTGACCATAATATAAATGGTTCAAATATAAATGTAACAAATAAGCAAACTATCCAACTAATTGTTAATGATGATTTAATAACATAATTTCGATGAATAGTTGGAAATAATTCTATTGTTATTAATAATGGTAATGGACCCCAACTACATGAGAAAGTAATAGCCAATATAATTAAATTAATTTGATGCATTGAAGACATTGAAATTTCAGTCTGCTATAAACGGATAATAAAAAAAAGAACCGATTGAGTAACATTTAAGTTTTATTTCATTGGAAATGTATATGGTATACATGAAGAAAGGTGGATAATCATGAAAATTTAAAAAATTGAACGATTCTCCAGTTTAGAACAACATATATAAGCGAACAATATTGTTTTCGATTAGATCCTCATCAGGCTTTACTCTAATATACAGTAATATTTATATGCATCTACGAAATTATTAAACCAATCAAAGTAGTTTATAATTGTTATCTCAGTTTCTATATTTTTCTAATCATTGACCTATTTCAGATTATGTAACATTGATTTGAACCTTTATTATTATTGCTTATCAAAACTAATGCACCTATTGTCACACCATCAATTTGTACTTTTCACATTTTACTTATTATGTAATCTTTTCCATTGTTATAAACTACCTTGATTGGTTTAATAATTTCGTATATGCATATAAATACATTACTGTATATTAGAGTAAAGCCTGATGAGGATCTAATCGAAAACAATATTGTTCGCTTATATATGTTGTTCTAAATTTACAATATGGGAATATTTCAGATTCTCCAGTTATCATATAATGTTGTTTATGATTAGAAGAAATACAGTATATTCAGAAATCATCAATTTATACCAATTTCTATGATTTTTTTTAGATGAATGTTTGGCTTATAGAAGTTAATATCGGAGTTTCTTCTGAAAGTTCTTTATTTATTTATTTAAACACATAAACATTGGTACAAGGAGGCACCAAGTAGATATGCACCACATAAATCATTCGATTTGTATGAGGGCTGTGATACTGCCCGGGTGCCCAAACCGAACCAGGTGGTTTTCTTACGGGGTCACACCCCAAGACTTCGACCTAAAGGTTTGACCCACAAGGCAGTGGAGCATCGTGAGGAGATGCAGTCCCATCGAAGCCGGAGACCAACGATTAGTTCATACACTATTTGTTCCTTCAGGATTCTAGAGCCCATGTGCACCATTGGTTTGGAATCCGGTTTAGACACCGGACATTCGCTTTTCGTCCTCTCAATTTCGTAAACAATACCCCTGCCAGGAGAAGGTAGTGATTAGGACTTCCCTGACAGAGGCTGTATACGCGTGGCCAAGTGAGAAAATTTCGAGAGGGAGGGCGGGCTTACCCCACTCTCGGCCATACCAGGGCATTCGGGGGCCTTCTGAAAGTTGGATATATAATTTACTTAGATGTTTTGAGGAGATTTGGATAGTTTAAAGAAAGTTGTCATGAAAAATCGACGCCAAATAGAGATCTGAATAAAGCCAAGGATAATTAGATAGGTGTTTCGATGCAGTTTATACCTAAAACTCTACACGATTTAAAACCTAGAAACTCCAGACCTCGCAGTGAGGACTATACATCTTTAGATAGCTAGGCCATAATGTGATGGTCAAAATTTTCCGATTCAATAAGATTAATGTTATAAATAGATCCTCATTCCCAGCTTAGTTGATTAAACAGACTATATTACTTAAAATCAGTCATTCAGATACAAGCAACGTAAAACCTGATATGTTTGTGCACCAATTCAACTTCCCACTTTTGTGATACAATGTCTAGCAGCTGATATTGATACATACAAACTCGATCACTTGAGAGGGAAAAGATGAAGAGTAAGGAAGGAAGTTTATTTCGTTAACCAAATGAAGAAATATCTGTATACTAATTTTGTATATATGACTCTTAAGAAATATTTTCAAATTGTCCATTTTAAGTTGATAGTTAAATATTTCTCATTGAATGAAATAGAAAGACATTGGCTATGTGACAGCAATCGTAATTAATAAGAATTTTACAATCATATTGTATCAAAAAATATGGGGACATTATATTAGATCATTATTTTCTGAATGAAAGTTATCTATTACGAACGATATTCATTGTACATTTTTATATCCATAAAATTTGATTACTGTGGTAAACAGAAGGAACCTTCAGTAAATAAGTCAGAATAGTAAAATATAGAAAATAATGTAAATTATGCTTCCTCAAAACTATTCAATTACTTAATTTCAGTATAGGGTTGTGAAGATTATTGAGTTTTGATTGAGATCATGAGTCGGTTAATGTTGGACCACAAGTGAAAACCTGAAAGTACCGGGATGCCGTTTCGTCCTGGCATAGGACTACTCAGTAGTGCGCATACACGACCACGAGCATGGTACTCAAACCCAGGGCCTTCAGACTCGTGCGCGAACGCTTGGCCTCTATACCACTGAATCAGTGGTATTCAATGGTGTTAATGTCTAACTTCAACTGATTCATGATACTGCGCGACAATCTTCCATTGTCTTCGGTAAACAACTGCCGCACACCCGACACTGATTTCCGTTGAAACTTGCATCCACGTTTATTTGACTGAAGAAAATGACATTTTATTAAAGATTATACTCTTTTGTTGTTAATCGATTTATTCTAACAGAGGATCAAAAGGGAATGTTAGATGTGAAGTGCACGAAAACGCAGGTGAGTAAAACTAACATTACACAGTGGTTTGGAGAATTTGAAAATCATACATTGGATACATTATTTGCACGTCTTCCTTCAGTTGTCCTTTACACACTTCATGATTCTTCCAATTCGATCATTATTTCTTTTGCTCTCTGTTTCCATTCCTGTTCTTTTCAATTCAATCTTTTGCTGGCAGACATTTCACTTCCAGTTACTGCTACATACTGCTTATATTCGTCAACATAAATAGCATATACCACAGATGTATTAAATAATTTCTAGCATGTCTGATGAATAATTATATGTTTACATATACATAAATCAAGGATAAGTACGACTCAAACTTCTCATTGATTTTTAGGACTAAAATTGATTAGACGTTTGGGTTTGCTTCCATATTGCCATTAAGTCACAAGTATTCTAAGCAAAAATGGATGGTGGCTGGAAAGTGTTTCGTCCCATTTTTGACTCGTCAACTGGACCTACTTGCACAAGCTAGTGGCTATCTGAAATCGGTAGCTAAGTGGATAATGCGACAATATTTGAAGTAAGCGGCACTAAATTCAAGTCCCGGAGTGAACATCAACTTCGGGATACAGGTGAATCCAGATGACAAGTCCTGAATAGAACGAAACGCACATCCTGGATTCTGCTGCTAACCACAATCTATCTGAGTTCATAATAAGAAAACTCGTTTATGCCATAATATCACGGATATCAGAAAAAAATGAAAGGACTGAATTCTGACGACATTTAACTAGATCCACTTTGTTAACTAACAACTTGATTAATTTGACAGTACCACTGTTACTCTATGACAAAGATTTCCTAAAGATCATAAATAATGAATAAAAAAGAACGACATTATATTCTATAAACTGGTCACTCACTGATACCATTAGTGAAAACCACAGATGGGATAAAGCCATAATTACAGCACCAACTAGTAGTAGCTTTTTCCAGGAGAATTTTCTAACCACAAATACTGATACAATACTAGAAATAAATAAACACAATCCAATTATGAATCCACATTGATATGATACTAGCCCACTAAATAGGCAAACCGATTCAGCAAAGTAGATTATAGCATTCATCCCTGTTAATTGTTGAAATGTTATTAATATAAAAATTGTACGAAGCTTAGACTTTGAATCATTCAATACATGAGAAGAACCAGTGGATGATTTTGTATTAAGATCTGATATATCATGAGAAACATTTCCATTCATCATTAAGTTATTCCCATTTTGTTTAAAAGGTATCTCCTAAATTGAAATTAAAAAAAAAAATAGATTTGACAATAACAACAGTTTTTTTTCTTATTTTCGACATTAATCATGAACTCTCGTGATATTTCAAACATTAACTAAACCATTTTAAATGGCAATCAGATTAAATGCTAAACTATGCTCATAAATATAATTAAGATTATATATATATATGTTAATTTTGAAAGATTTTTCGAAATATACTTTGGTAACTTTCTTTATTTTTATTTTAACACACAGATATTGGTACAAGGAGGCAGGTGATTATCTTAGGGGACCACACCCGGAGCCTTCGACCTGAAGGTCTGATCCACAAGGCAGTGGAGCAACGTAAGGAGATGCATACCCATGGTAGGCGGTGATCAACGCTTGATTCATACATCATCCGTTCCTTCAGGATACTGGGGTCCATGTGCACCACTGATTTGGAATCAGGGTTTTCCAACTCCACTAAGTGGAATCGCCGTGTCCACTAACCCGGTTAAAGCGCCGGACATTCGCTTTTCGTTCTCTCAATTTCGTAAACAACACCCCCGCCACGAGAAGGCAATGAGTAAGACTTCCTGACAGAGGCTATATACTCGTGGCCACGTGAGAGCACTTCGAGTGGGAGAGCTGACTCTCCCCACTCTCGGCCGTACCATGGCATTTGGGGGCTACTTTGGTAACTACATTCACAGATTCAATTACACATGGTTCTCTTTAGCTTTATTCCGTTTTACGCCAGCGTTTTATGATAGATAAAGTTGAAATTACAGTAAAATAGTAGACCCTTAAAGGAAACTAACACCTTTAAAGAGAGAGAGAATAAAGAAAACAATTCAGTAAACAGTTTCAGACTTTGTTATTGGCTGGCTGTACTCATCACCAACTATCCCATTTTGAGCAGCTCGGTGAGTATTACTGACTCCCTTACATTTAGAGCGCCACTCATACCCAGGTACCCGGGAATAAGTTAATAATGCAAACTATTTTTCGACTATACTCTTTGAATTGCATAGGTATAGAGACAAGAACTATTGTAGTGGTTAGGTTTTCATTCATCGATAACATTAGATGATCTTTATCTCAACACGAGATGCTCGAAGAAAACTAGATACTTAACATTGAAGTCATTATTTGATCAATAATTTCATGGTTATAATTGCATCTCAAAATTTTTTGTCCATTATGGTTTACGTAATAGACGCCAAAAAACCAAGTAAATAGTTGCACAAAAGTGTAATACTGTCAATTATGAGATGTATCCAATCAAACTTTATTCATTACACTGTAATAATAATATTTTTAGAACATAATTTATTTATTTTAAACAAATTTGTAGACCTAACAGTCACTTACGTTTCCCTGCAACAGATAATGAGATGCTTCAGCTGATTGCAAATTACCCATTTTAACGCACCATTCAGAAGATTCGGGTAACATATAAGTTAAAACGGCAACAAGTGAAATAACCAATGCGAAAACCAAAGAAATAGTATCCCAGTTTAAAAAAATTGCAAGTGCATAATCAGCAACAATTCCGCATGTTATACTAACTTGAAACAATGATCCCATCAATACTTTCCATGACGATGGAATTATCTCATAGACATAAATTACATTAGTAGTTAAAGTTAATCCACAACCTAAACCAGTTATTAGACGTCCTAATACTAATTGAATAGTTGGTGAATATCGTTCGTAGACAGCTGACGATGAAAAATATAGTAACACCCATCCTATGACAGATAGACCATAAGAAAGAAATAATGTAAAACAATGTCCATAATAACGAATAAGCCACGTTGACCACAATGATCCAATTATTCCACCTGCATTTAATAAACCAACAAAAACTGCTATCCAACTAGAACTGAAATAAATTTGAAGTGTAGTTGCTGATGAAAATCCAAATGTTAATCCTACATAAATAAAATTAATAACATTAAAACAGTTATAACACTATGTATGGAAATAATCTATTTTTCAAGTTATATTAATTAATGTTAAATCATATGGATATTGAACATGTCAAAACGTTTTTTTTTTAGGATTATAAGTAGTTGGTGTTTGAATTACAAGTTAAAACACGTATATAGTAACAAATCATTAAATGATGGGATTCTTGAAGACATATTTCAAAGAAACGGTTAGATATTCTATAAATGTTTGAACATACTCTGTTAGCTGACTACTCAGAATAATAAATGTATAATATTTGAGGTGTTGTAAAAATATCCTGGTTGAAAATTCGGTCATTCACTTATAAACAAAATAGAACCCGTTACATATATTCATCTGTCCAAATCACCACATCATATTAAAACAGAAAGATTAAATTATCAATATGAATAAACAAGCGATAGAAGCAGTAGTTTTAGTGATAAAAAAAATTAGGCATTGACAATTTGATTGAAGAAAAATCGATGAAGTCATGGAATAGAAGATATAAAATAGTTTGAAACTTCAGATTTAAAGGAAAGCAAAGAGTGAATGCATTTATGCTATCGCAACAGATTCTGAATCATGTTAAACAGTCTTCAAGCACTGGTCGTGATACACATGAGAACTGTAACCAGACAAGCATGGCTCACAAAAATTGTCAATAGATTTATGCGTAAATACCACATTTTGGTTTGTAAGCCTCTAAGTTCCTAGCGAAATTATTAATACATAAGAAAACATTATGTATCGACGTAGGAAGTGTTCGCCCACATTTAACAGGTCTCAGCCTCGTCAGTTGATATAGATTCTTCATCGGAATAATGAATTTTTCACTAACAAAAGCAAGTGAATAAATATGGGAAAATATGTGTTTTAGGATAGAACTAGTTGTTTTCTAGTGTTTTTAAAATTGCTGGGTTATTGTATATACTAATTCTGTTAAAAGCACAATTCCCCATATATAATCAAATGTAGTCAAGGGAAATAGACAAATTATTGTTTTCAAGGACTAAGTGATGAGGCTATAATTTATGGACGACCTATGAGCGACGCCAACGTGATCTTGAGTGTCTACCTACTTAATAAGGCTAAATGAAGGCTATGAAGCAGTTTGAGGAATAAAGATAATGATTTACAGTTGATGGTAAGGGTTAGGATTTGGATTTATGTTTTTCATCACGAACTGACATCAGCTAAAATGCTAAGACGCTATTTAGATGAACGGGTGGATGAATTTCGCGCAAAAATCCAATACCTGCTATCCTAAATCTGACTGGTTCGTCCATAAATTATAGTCTCTCGGATTAAATATTCAGTACTAGTAATATTTTGTTTGTAATTGCCATAACAAAATGTGTTTTAATGACTGTTGCTGCTTTTCTCGGCTAAATTTAAAACCAGTTAATCTGTAATTAAAAACAATTTTAAAACAGAGATTTGCTTACCAGAAGTAAATGCACTCGAAATGCAAACAAACAATACTAAATAGAGTCGATTAGTGACCATTGAAAAGCAGAGCTAGTCGTTAACACAAAAAAAAGTTCGAGTGAATCTAAAAAAGAGAAAAATGATGTATTTACTCAATTAATATACAGAAATAGTTAACTAGGATGTTTGGTGATTGATACCCTACGAAATTTTTTAACTACACTTGACTCTTAACACTTAGTACACAAGCAAACCAAAAATAAAAGGTTACGGAGCCTATATTACTTGTGATATAATTAAATCACTAACTTGTTTGCCATAATAAGTACATCTAATACCAGGTTTGAGAAAATAGTGGTCCAAGTAAATAGCTCGCTTAAGCAAATGACGAAAAGCAGATTAATTGTAAGAAGTCATTGCCATCTTACCAGAGGATACCCTGGTTTAAGACATTTAAAGCTAATTCCTTCTATTGATTTAGAAACTTTATCAGTACGTATAACAGAAGTCGGGAAAAGTAATCACAAACATATTGTGATATGTTTATCATGTAGTATGTGAAATAGATTAATTATAAGATCAATCTAGGTACTTATGGGTGTTATGTGAAAGTCTTGGTATTTGAACTAAATATTCTAGTGGGGGGTGTAGTTGTTTACTGAAAATACTGGGTATGTACCTTTTCCTTGTACAAAATACTTGGGAGATTTTAAAAGAACTGAATTTTCATTTTGCTAGAACTAGAATCAATTCACTAAAATGCCAAGGCAGTAAACGAAAAAGTATTTTAATAGTTGAATTCATGATTCAGTTAAAGCTAGACCACCACGAAAAACCTGGGAGCACTGGACAGCCGTTTCGTTCTAATATGGGGCTCCCCGTCAGTGCGCGCCCACGATCACGCTCGCAGAACTCGAATCCAGGACCTATCGTGGGAGTGCCATACTATGACGACAAAAACTATTTACATGTAGACCTTAGCGCATGCGATGCTCAAGTCGTACGTGAAAGATCACACAGCTGATAACAAACGAATTTCAGGAAAGATATACGACAAAATATATCAACTATTGTAATTAACACAAACTGATGTGTCTACAATTAATGTTCGTAGACCAATTCGAATTGTGCATATTGTAGTACTTTTTGTATTCAACTAAAACGTGATCTCAGTCTTTATCTACACGCTTTCCGAAATAAACCGATACGTTTGGCCGGAACTATAAAATTAGACTTCGTCAAAACTTTTCTCAACGTTTTAGCTTTTAATCTGCTGGATCACAATATTATGAACTCCAGAGGTATCTCTGGAATTGCCAGACACCTTGAGTCAACGATGTAGTTCCTATAACTAAATTACTTTAAGGAGAAATAACCGTTTAAGTCAGCCCTAGTATTATCCTTCAAAATAAGTAACTTTGCTTTATTGGAAAGATAAGATTCTTTTCCTAACATACTGAAAACCCAGGCATTTAGTATGGAAATCAAGTTAAATAAGTAAGTTACTGATAGTAAAGTGATCAAAAGTCTATGACCAGGTAAGCTACTTGATGCAAGCGAGAAACAAAATGAAGGCTGGTTTGGAATTGCCAAAGCCTGGTAATGAGCAATTCCGTCAGTTGACTGGGATTGCCGTTGAAGTAAGACCCTCGACGAGATCCTATGTTCACTTAGCTTCCAACTGACTGCAAATCCTCAATTAAAGATACCGATACAACTAATCAATCAATAATATTAAATCAGATGTTTCTATATTACCGTGTTGTTAATATCACACTGCTTCTGACTCCTTTAAACTTTGTCCTCGATGGCTTTCAATAATCTCCACAAAAGAAATTGGTTTTCCTTCCGAGGTCTTTTTCGAAGTAGGAAAAGAAACGACAATCCAAAAAGAGTACGGTAATATTTCAACAGGAACACAGAATCAGTAATTTGATAAGAATGCCGGACTGTACAACAGTTCGGAACACAAAACGTAATATAAAATAACACCAGGATACTAAGTATTTTCCCCCCTCACTTTGGGATCTGTAACAAATTAAAAAGGACGTAATCGTAAATCATTTAAAAAAAATTAACTTGTGTGCAAACTTTGATTAACCATATATCCTATGTAGTCATACGCCGGTTTCAGGCGATTATAGTGGACGATCATATATACCAAGAGTCGCCTCTGGTGTCTTTGATTTCATACGTAGATTTTGTTAAGATTCTAATTACTTCATAAGGACCTGTTCATTCTCTATGTAGTTTAGTGAGTGTCCCTGCCGGTGAGTCGTCTGGTTTTAGCCATACTATTTCTCCTGGTTGTAAGATTATTCCATAAGTCTTCCTATTGTAGTACTTTTCTGGTGCTTTTGCGTCACACCAATCTGTACGCAAGCCATATCATGACACTTCGATACATCCTCTCGAAGCTTCACGATAGTATCTCACTCTAATAAAGGTTTTTGATGCATTCGTTTTGTCAACAACTCAGCTGGCGGCCTCACATCTCTTTTTATCTATAACACATCAAGTGTATGTCCAGTAGACAGTTTGAGCATCTATACTACTTAGGGGAATTGCCGCATACTAATTCGTAAACTGATCAATCATAATCAGAATGTGATTACTTTTCTTGTTGGTTTCCCGTAGTGTCCCAATAATATCGATTTCCACTGTCTTGCTGAGGTAACCTGGTTTCACAATTACTAAGGGTGTGTGCGGGTTGTTTCCGAGCCCTTGGTCATTTGTTAAATCTTTCAAGCTCTGACACGATTCTGTATGATTTCCCTTTGTTTTGGCCAACAATATTTACGTTTGACTGCCTCCGTCATTTTATTTGGCCTCCGTTTCCCAAGTTTTCATGAACTATGCACAAGACACCACAGAATATAGACTGTTGAATTACTAGTTGTCTCGAATAGTGTGGTTCCTAACAAAAATATAAAACTCTATTTATCTATCTATTATTATTATGAAGAATTTCCACAAGGGCCATAGACATCTACCTTACCAACTCACACCTTTAATTTTTTTTGAAAGAAGCCCAGAACTACCGTTCTTTAAAGCGTTATACACTACTGAAATTTCCAGATGTTTCCAGCACATGAAAATGTCCAATGAAAGCAGCTGACTTTTCTCCTTCACTTTCTCTAGAATAATGAAGCTCTTTTTTTAACAAAACAAGATGTTTTAGATATCTGGATACTGAAATCATTTCAGTAAACTGAACATTTATGCTTTTGATGGTAGAATATAAATACTGAAAGTTTTAGCTCTTTTAAACATTTTTTGAAAAGGAGCTACCTTTGTGATAGACACCCTAGGTTGCCTAGGAAAATTCGTTGAGCGTTTTCGACATTCTAAACCCCATAAACAAAAAAGATATGCCTGAAAGCTATTTTCTAGGTAGGTTGTATTTGTGGTCCAGCTGACTGTTTATCTCAGCAATGATATCAAACATAGTTTTTGTTCTACGGTACCAGACTTAGCTTCAGTTCCAGGTTAATACCTTACGTTTGACACCACTACCGTTGATCTAGGCACACTGAAATATAAATGCTTGTTTTAAAGTTTCGCCAAAAATGAAATGTACAACTTGACCAGCAGGAAAGAATCTCTGGTGGAGTAAACTCCTAAAGATATTTATAGATTCTCAGCTCAATTGGCTTCCAATAAACTATAACTGTTCGATGAAAGATATTAATCCAGTCAATCAATCAATCAACAACTCTAAATCAAAGGTTGTGCCTACCTTAAACTGTTGCTATTGATACAACCTTCAGTTCCATAATGAGCGGGCTTCAGTACCAAATGCTCATTAAACAATGTTCGTTCTTCAGAAATCAGATGAACAATATGTTTTTCACTTGCTTGAATAAAAAAGTTGATTGCAATATGAAAATAATGAAGTGAGCATTCTATTGGAAAAATAAATATATTATTTCAAGAAATAAATATATAAATTAGTCAATTACTTGATAATGCATAAATTATGGGATAACAGAGAAATTAGAACGAGAGAGAACAGCAGATGATAACGAGGGAAACTAAACTTAGTCACTGGAAGCATCTTAGTTCGCCACATGGACACTAGAATGGTAAAGGTCAACGATGAACGACTGTCACGAAACAGCAAGGAATACTGTTCAAAAATTTATCATGTACGAAGCACCTCAAGCTAGAGACGCGCCTTGAAAATAAAATCCAGGGTTAAACGAGGGACATAACATGCCACACGTCGGAAAAGGAGCCTGATATAAGCGGAAAAACTCTGAAGGATCCTGACCGCAGCTCTAACTTTGCTCTGAGTAATAGACTGGATGCCAACGTTGAAAACGATAGGAAATATTTCAAGGCAAAGCCAGCAGCCGAAATACGAGGTTACTCAAAATATCCATAATATCATGATCAAAAGGACATCTACAAATCAACGGGCCTGCGTTCCTAAGAAGCCTAACTGTAAAGACAATACCAACCTAGAAATGGCATAAGTCTTTATTACAAGCTTCAATGATCAGGCAAATCAGAAACGCACAAGCTCAGATTACTCTTCGACTTTTACACGAAACGATAGAGTAGTAAAGGTCCATGTGATTCTTAGTTTGGTATCAAGGAGACTAAATTCTTTGAGCCTAGAGAAGTGACGGGGATATCACAACATCAATTCTAAAAACGTCCGTAAAGGCTCCACTTTGATCCGTTCACTTGCTAGGGTTGCGTCAAAGACTGTGGAGATGATGTTCTGGCAATATGTTCATGTCGGTGTGATTTGGCGTACTTAATGCCATGTGATGTTTTCAGATCATCATGGAAATCCAGAACCGAATATCTTTATAGAGTGGGATCTCAGGCTTATAACCACAGACAGGTTAGATATCAGCTGGCAAATTACCAGCGCAGGCGAGATTGTTTCAGTCAAACGTAACAACTCAATCAATATGCTAGAATATAAACTACATTTCGACGTTTAAAGGCACGTGCCTACGTTTACCATATCTTTTAAGATGTTTTCAGATCATCATGGAAATCCAGAACCGAATATTTTTATAGAGTGGTATCTCAGGCTTATAACCACAGACAGGTTAGACACCAGCTCGAGCTACGTGGAGGTTGCAGACACTTATTTAATGTTGTGAAATATACATATTGTATTCACACTCCCGCACAGATCCTAGTGTATGTGTTGGTTAATTAGGGATCGTATGTATTAGATATAAATAAGCACACTTGTTCTGGTACAGTGTGGTTTCTACAACCAACAGTCATGACTTAGCGAGCAGGAGATTGATTAATTGCAATATGAACGATCACAGAAGTTAGAGTGAAACGGAGCCAAAAAGTTAAAAGAGGCCCAGCAACATTGTCGACTTCGAGATAGGACCATGTGTACGTTTCACACTGTGTCAAGATTAACTATGCTGTGGTTGCGCCAAGTTGTCGATGCATAAAGACGAGAGTTTCGTTTTTATTGACTGCATCCTCCGTATAGTTTAAGCTAGTGTCTAGCCTATCTGTTTTTATAAGCCTGAGATCGCACTATATAGAGATATTCGGGAGTGAATTTCTACAAATTGTTTATACTTCGTATCGAATGCGGCAGAATGTTCATGACACGTTATTTAATCCACTGAGTTTTAACTCAATGTTTACTGTCCATTACTCAGTTTTTGTGAGGTTCTTGTGACGCATCTGATGTTGAGACATTACAAACCTCCTGCACTCCAATTCTGAGCCAGTATAAAATTGGGCTTGCAATGCTTTTATTGACCCAGTCGCTGTTGTCTGTTAAAATTCAACAGAAAACAGACACTTTGCATCCGAAATTTCTCAACCATTTGTACATATGAAATAACTTGATCTATATTGGACTGATTTATCGGACATTCACTAGGTAGAAGTGTTAGTACAATATATAGTAGAAATGAAGATAATGACATCAGGTACAAACTTGACAACCTACGTCATTATCCAGAATCTCATATTAGTGATTTGATGATTATGTAAAATTTTACTAGTGTGAATTGTGTACTACTTATACAAAACAACGTAAAATCTGCAAGAAGTACCCTAACGAGAACAGCAAAGTACTAAGGAATAGTTTGATCCTAAACCATCCAGCCTTAATTGGGCATGCTTGTCAAAATGATTGGGCCTCCCAGGTGGAAACTATACAAGTCTTAATTTCTATTACCCATACCAACAATTGCAGACTCTGTTTCCCATAAAGATCAACTTCATTTCCATGCTTATCTTCGTGCGTTTGGCTGTGATGTTTGACTGATAGCGCTCCTCTAGGGCATTTTTGCATTATTCATTAACATCCATTGTAAATAAAGGCCTTAGAGATCATATTCAGGAATTACTTACGCTTTAGTCTGTGTTCTAAGTCACCACTGACTCTGAATACAATTGATAACTAATGTTTCCCTACCGCTTTAGGTTATTTCACGTTAAATTCGACAATTCGTCCCTCGGAAATAGTCACAAAACATCCACACCACAGATGTTAGATATTTTCTCGAATTGTGAAAGAAGCTAACTAATCAGAACATTATTTTTATCTTCAGTGGTCACATATATGATACATTTGTTGTTCTATAATATATCTTTACTATGTTAGTGGATATAATGTAAGAATAAAATTCATACCAAATCCATTAACGTTTCATAGAGGTTTTAAAGGAACCTTTGTGATTATTCATCGTATTCTTGAAATTCATTTTAAACAATAAATCTCTTTAACGAATTAGGAAAGTGTAACAAGAAAGCAGGTTCCGTCGGTTTTATGCTGTGTTAGTGTTGTACAATCCGTACGGTTATATAACACATTGTCTTTTCGAGATAATGATTATAAAAACTAAGGTTCCGATTAGACTCAGAGGGAAAACAACAGCAATGACTAGTCACTGGATAACATATCTAAACGCCCTGGATATTAGTTTATTATTAGTCTTAAAAGATATGGTAAACGTAGGCACGTGCCTTTAAACGTCGAAATGTAGTTTATATTCTAGCATATTGATTGAGTTGTTACGTTTGACTGAAACAATCTCGCCTGCGCTGGTAATTTGCCAGCTGATATCTAACCTGTCTGTGGTTATAAGCCTGAGATCCCACTCTATAAAGATATTCGGTTCTGGATTTCCATGATGATCTGAAAACATCACATGGCATTAAGTACGCCAAATCACACCGACATGAACATATTGCCAGAACATCATCTCCACAGTCTTTGACGCAACCCTAGCAAGTGAACGGATCAAAGTGGAGCCTTTACGGACGTTTTTAGAATTGATGTTGTGATATCCCCGTCACTTCTCTAGGCTCAAAGAATTTAGTCTCCTTGATACCAAACTAAGAATCACATGGACCTTTACTACTCTATCGTTTCGTGTAAAAGTCGAAGAGTAATCTGAGCTTGTGCGTTTCTGATTTGCCTGATCATTGAAGCTTGTAATAAAGACTTATGCCATTTCTAGGTTGGTATTGTCTTTACAGTTAGGCTTCTTAGGAACGCAGGCCCGTTGATTTGTAGATGTCCTTTTGATCATGATATTATGGATATTTTGAGTAACCTCGTATTTCGGCTGCTGGCTTTGCCTTGAAATATTTCCTATCGTTTTCAACGTTGGCATCCAGTCTATTACTCAGAGCAAAGTTAGAGCTGCGGTCAGGATCCTTCAGAGTTTTTCCGCTTATATCAGGCTCCTTTTCCGACGTGTGGCATGTTATGTCCCTCGTTTAACCCTGGATTTTATTTTCAAGGCGCGTCTCTAGCTTGAGGTGCTTCGTACATGATAAATTTTTGAACAGTATTCCTTGCTGTTTCGTGACAGTCGTTCATCGTTGACCTTTACCATTCTAGTGTCCATGTGGCGAACTAAGATGCTTCCATGTGGCCGTGTAGTTTGTCAAGATAGAGCTAAGGTTAGCAGCATATTCGTTCTTCTTATGTGCCTTGTTAGTTACCACATCAGTGAAGACTGTCTCATGATTAGTTCTTTATATTAGTGCTGAGATATGAACTTTTCAACTAAAAGCTAATCATATGATATCAAATAGGTCAAGGTTTTGGTTCAGCATCTTCTTCTTACACGTTCAGGTAATCCTTATCTTCTTTTATGTCTCGTCTTGCTTTATTCCGAATGCTAATTTCTGAAGACGTAGTTTTCAATTGTGATCCTTTGTACATCTTTTCGAACCTCAGTAGTATTTGTATCAATAATTCAGTTGTCTTTTATTTCATGTTTTATTATGTGTGATGGCATGTATATTTTTACCCGACTTAGGCCTTAGAGTTTATCCTTTTTTGCTGCCATATAGACATATTCCGAGGCACTCCTACTCAAATCTTTTGTAACTCACGTGACGTTCTCGCTACGATATCTAATTTTATAGACATTTTATTTTTGGTATCATTTGTTGATTACAAAAGCTCAATCCTATTAAGTGAGCTTTTCATCAGCTAATCCATTGTGAGTACTATATTGCGGTAAGACCTAAATGTTGTTCACAAATAAAATGTTCAGAAACTATCGGAACTATTTACTGTGATATCCCACATAACTATGGACGCATGAAATAACAGCATTTTGTGAGATGTTTATATTCTGTATAAAATGTGTAATAATGTAAACTAAGTAATTTATTAACAATAGCATTGTGATACATTATGCTGGGTGACTCACCGGAAAATAAAAAAAATACGTCATGGACAAAATATACTGTTACAAACAACGTGAATAACTATCTTAGCATGGGAGCAGTTAAGTTCCTCATTTAGCTACAGCAGTGTTATGTTTCATTTGATACTGT